AGCCCTTTTCCTCCCCTCACTCACTCACTGCTCCGTCTCCCCCACAGAAGGTGGAAAGCCCCACTTCGAGGGGAGATTTGAAATTCTAATCAAGTCTTTGGTTTCCTTTTTGGATGACCTCATTTTTCCCATTGCAATGGTTTTAGGTGGATTTCACATTATGGCTTATTTTTGCCAAGGGTCTGAAAGGTAATTTGTTCCATGTTGGTGAGTGGAAGGGGATTGCTTGTATAATTAAAGTGAGATACAGTCACAAATTGATTTGACCACCACTCCCGACTCCCCCGTCCATTTTTAGATGATAGAGTTTAAGGCTGAGTATCAGGATGCTGACACAAGCTTAATGTATTAACTGTTTGACACGGCACAGGTTATGTCAATAAGCTTCTCCAGAGTTTAATTTCTACTAGTAAAAAAAATCAAGGTGTATAGTTTTCCATGCCAAACAAAGCAACACTCTATATTTTAAACACTGTATAAGTAATTAAAACCCCTTCTCATGTTATTTCTAAAAACGCTGTAAAATAGCACACTGCTCTAAGGTCAGAGCATGCTTATTTTGAGTTTTATTGGGAGAGGCTGTCATTAACACATCTGCAAAAGTATATTTATAGTCACACTTTAAAAAAAACCTGGATAACAAAATGATGCCCGCCTGACTCCATTCTCGCATTATCACCCAATTAATTTGAACATATGGGTTTCAAAGGATGGATTAGGGAGTAAAGTTGTCCAAAATGCCCGAAGACAGACATTTGAATAGTTGCTGCTGCCTCGCCCAGACGCTATCGACCACACCTCAGCTCCTGACACGCGTTCAGCCTCCGGTGTCTGGGATTCTCTCCATGACACGGAAGCTCCCGGAACGAAGCTCAAAGGAATCACCTCTCTTTGCTCTTTTGCCCAAAGGATACTTGTGATGTCAGTCTCTCCACAGCTTTGTGGATGTAAACAAAGGAAACAGAAAGCACAAGTCAGCAGGTGCTAGCCAGCTGCTGTGGTGTCTAGATCTCATAAAGCAGAACAGAAATTGCATTAGCTGGAGTTCTCTTATTATTCTCCTGAAATTGCTGCATCTGGGATGTGAATTTGCATCATGCTCTAATGGAAAAGTTTGATTTCCCCTCCCCAGTTAGCCGAGGGTTAAATGTACCAAATTCAAATGTTGCTTTTCATCAGAAATAACTCCATTCCTACATCGGACTGCAGATATCAGCTATGGCAGTGTGGAGGAAACAATGCAATGAGTGACTACACCCCCCTCCCTCCCCCCACTCTCCTCCTACTGGATTGAAGATGAGGAAGCAAAAATGGTAAAGGCGTGGGAGTTCGATGGAGCGATGCTGTTTCTTTGGAAGCAGACCAAAGACCTCTGTCTCTGTTTGTACAGATGACATCATCTTTCTACTATCCCATATATCAGACACTCTGCTGTCCTCAGAGCTGGTCCTCATTTTTTCTCTACTGACCCAACACTGAGTCAGTGATTGGCTTGAAATTTCACTGAGGCTGCATGCTCCAATGAGCTAGTCAAGGCCAGTCAGTAGACTCTTAAACTGTTATTGTGTTGCAGGTCGCCCCTCAGTTCAAATATGTCTTTATCTAATTTCCTCAGCAGCACTATCCCCACCGGCTTTGTGATGCACCAGGAAAAAGAAAAGGAAAGGAAGCTCCAAATTCCTGTTCTCACTCAGTTTTGTTTCATCTGCTCATAAATGGCCAAAGCTTTGAATTGCATCGCATTGCATTCGCAGTCGTGTCTAGCAAAGCAGTGTGGGTGCAAGCGTCGCATTAAAGAGTGTGTGAAAGGTTTCTGTTTAACTTCCTAACTAAGCACGAAAAAAGCCAAACTTGACTTTTTTCCCTAAACACTCCCACCTTCCAAAAAGCGGCGAATGCAAAACTCATTAGATTCAGCAGGAATGAAAATGAACTACACAGCAGAAATACCAAGGTGACAGACATTATGTTTCTGCATACTGCAACATGCCCAGCTCTCCTTAAAATTACATAATGGAAAGGAAGAGAAGACTGCTAATTAATGCATGTGGCACCTTCTGTTAATTTAAACAATCTGTGACTCCAGTAAGCTGTTTGGCAAGAAAGTGCTGCCAGTGTGTTCATGTCTCGTATTATCACCTACATTATGGCCCACGGTGTGAGACCAGTGATGTGTCCTGGGCACCTGGCCATCACTGATCCCACTCCTTAGACCTCTGTTTGTTTTGGGAGCTCTGACTACCTCTGACCAGTGGATAAACCCCGAGCTGTGTATTTTGAATGTCAGAAGCACTTTGTGGGACCTGTGAAATGGATTTGATTCAGGGCTTCTGCTGGAACCGGCAGAGGTTCTGCTCAGCGTCACAGCATTGCACAAACACCTGTTGATTTCAGAATCACTACACCGTGCGCTAACCGGCCTCTGACCGTGAGTGGGCACCAATCCAATTGCTCCACTTAGGCTTTCTCTGGAGAATCTGCAGCTCAGCGGGCTTCTGCTTCTGCTTTCTGGAACAATCAATGGGCCATAGTTTATACAGGAAATACCAATATGGATGAACGAGGGAATTAGATCATAACGCGGAGCTACTTGAAGGAAATAGTGGGGGGGAAATAGAAGTGAGTGACAGTGGAAGAAAAAATATTGGGGATCTCACGGCCAGAAAAATGGAAATGAGGTATTGGAGTTGGCAATAAATAGCAGATTTAACAGCCTGAGAATTTTCCTCGCTTAGGAATGTGTCAGACTAAGGCTGGGGTTCCCATGGATTTGGTGTGAGGTATGCATGAGGAATTGTGCTCATTCCAATTAGACTGTTTACTTTGCCCTTTCCTCTGCGCGACGCCACGGAGCGTCTGCGCGTAAAAAGCCGCACAGAGTAGAATGGACTTTCACACCAACCGGAAAAAAATATTTGTCTTCCCCCCCCCCTGTAACCTCGCGTAATAATTAGGTTGGACATCGTGACAAAGATAAAAAGCGTTTGCGCAAGTAACTGGAATGATTTGGGATTGCGTGTGGTCATCAACTCTTCTTTAAAGTTCAAAATAAACCACAATTATGCATCTACACCTAGAACAGGAAGAGTTTCTACTTTATTGGCTTATAAAGGAAAAACTGGAACATTCATAACCCCAAAACAGTACACTCACTGTTTTCTTGTGGCCCATTGATCATGTTGAACTTGTAAATCTCTTTGGCGTAGTACTCTGTCTCCGTGTTATCCTGTCCGCAACTCTGCTGCCGGTCTCTCCCCAGCTCCTCAATGAGCTCCTTGGTGCTGTTATAAAGTGCCAGAACCTGAAACGGTACTTGACTTGGACCTGTTGTTTGAGGCGGACTGGTCATTCGGAGTTTACTGAGAATCTGTCCCCGGACGGCCTCCACTCTCTTTTTCTTTATGTGTTTGATGTCCACTGTGGTGCAAGTGGATAGCAAGAAAGTCACTGTCACACAGTTTGAGAGGAGGAAAAACACAAGTGCTTTGCCCAGATTCATATTTTAATCTGCGTTCGCTCACAGCCGAAGCCTTGTCAAGTAATATTAGAAGAAGGAGAAGAAAAAAATATCCCTTTTTATCTTTTCATTGAAGTCGCGAGTGAGTACTGTTCCTGGAGGAATCCCATTTTCTCGAGTGCTATGTCATCTTTGCCAAATGCGCATTTCCATGGGAGCGAATCCGCGCAATTGTGCAAAAAGGTCTCGACTCTTCAACAAAACTCTTAATTACACTCTTCATTCCCCCTTGTCTCATTCAGGCACCTCTTCCCCTCTCCTTTCTTTGTAGTTTACAGGGACCCGATCTCTCCACCGCCGTTTAGTTGCTCCATTGCATTTGGGGTCTTTCCATCCACTTGTGCAAATATATATATGGAGTCAGTGCGTCTTTGTTGTCTTCTTGCAGTCCAACCTCAAACACACTAAAGACGCTTTCCACGCTCACTCATACTTTATACCCACCATCGGTGACGTTTCTGAGGGAGGGGCCGCGAGCTATAGACCGAGTGCGGACAATGTGCTCAGTCCCACTCCGTAGTAAGATAAATAAGACTTTGAATTTCATGCTGCCAAACAGTGTTTGAATCATACGCAGCGTAATATTGGGCAATGAGATTTCGCAAGAGAGAAGGGTTGCATTCATTTGTCAAGTGAATAGCAGTGGATGTGGCTGAAATTAAGTCACGTTCTGTTGTGTGCCCCACGCGCGCTCACAGCAGTTCAAAAATCTAAACCTGAGGAGGTTTACGTGCTTAATATTTTTAATCGTGGGCAAAATAAAGTACCAATGAAGTAAAGTTCAAAGTTAACATGCAGAACTTCTGAGGGTGCGCAAGGGAGCTGCGGTCCTCTGCAGGCTGCTACCGTTCAGCGCCTCCCCAGTATCATAATGAAAGGAGACAGCGACATCTCGCGGACCACGCGGGGAATTGAAGGTACAATTTGATTTCATCTTTATTTTTTGCCTGCGTCCTCAAATGAGAAATTTTGCACTGAGGACAAGAGTATCACTTTATCCATTTAGAAAAAAACAACAACAAAACAAAGAAACAAACAAAAATAAATATAAAAATAAAAAGCGACAACAATACCTCCTGTTTTTCTTTAGTGATGTAATTTTTACTCTTAAAAATGAATTCATATTATGAGTTTTAAATATATATATATTTGCTTGTTTGTTTGTATTTCCGGACGTAATTATCCAAGGATTTTTTTTAAATTCTTTTTTATTTTTTGGACACACCATGATTATCTGTTGACTCACCATTAAATCAGAGAGAAAAATGGGCCAGATATCCGGAGTAGGCGTCTTATTTATTCAACAGTAATGTCTGGGGAGCTCCAGTAGTACAAGGAAACATTGTTATCATTACTTTATATACGTTCTCACATACAAACGAGCAGTAGGGGCATTATAGCAGATTCCCTATCAATATCAATACACGCATCTATTTATTTGTTTGTTTGTTTACTTACTAACGATATTTGGGGCGGTCCAAAGGCACTTTCCTCCTGATTTGCGTTACCATGGAGAGCGTTGCTGTGTGACGCCTGGTGGTATCCAGGAAGAAGGTGAACTAGCTGGTAGGAGGAAAAAAATGGACGATAATTTCCAACAAGAAGATGGTGGAACGGCAAAAAATGTAAGTAGGGTCTTATATCATTAAAATGCACATAGCAAGGTAATGGGAGGAAAGTAGCATTCATTCTGAGCTGAGTTGTGGGCACTGTATGACGGTGCAGCGATGCTAGTTAGCTAATTAGCTTTCTGTTTCGCTAATGCGAGCATCAGTAATAGCCAGTCAGTAAATGATATGCCAGTTTAACCTGTCAGTTACCTGCTCAGAATCATCATCATTCACTGTTTTTGAGCACTGGCAGCGGGAAGGTTTGTCTGCGTATTCAGCTAACTTTAACTTCGGGGTTAGCCACAGATGATGCTAGCTGAAATTTCCCCCACAAGCATAGCTCAGTGTTTTGGTAGCTCCGTGTAAACTCTGACCTGGTTCTGTGTCTGGCATTACTCCCTCAGAAAACGTACAGGAAGCATGCATACTGTGTTCCCACTGCTACCGGTTTTCTCCATAAAAGGCAAGAATGCCTGCTGTCCTGATAATGTTTCGGGGATACACTCATCTCTTTTTGTTGGTGCTTGTGGTTCACACACGTTCACATTTCTATAAACTACACAGAAAACATGACTTCAAATCTGAAATAAGACCAACCACTTTTAGTTGACAAAAAGACAATGTTTCATTTGAATTATACTATGTGTCTTTGGACTAATGTAAATATTGATACGTTTTTATTGATATTAAATCCAATTTTTTTTTAATTAATCATATAGGTGATATTCTTTGTGAATCTACTTTTTTTATTCCTCCAACATGTAAGCTTCATGGGTCACTCCATGGAAAAGGGGTGCCTCCCACCTGAACCCCTCAGAATCAGATGTTTTGTTTTAATAACTTTAGTTTATATTATATTTAGCTTATATATTGAAGCCATACAAAATTCTGCCTATATGCTATAAATGTTTTCCAAGTTACAGGTCCTTGAAGTAAAAAAGGGGTGGGTTGAGATTTGACGCTTTTTTATTTCCTAATTTTTTTCTGGCAGTTTGTGCCATCATACTCTGTTACATATACTGAAGCTAGGCACTTACGATTTTCATGGCTGAAAAACAGTTTTAAAAACTGCAGCCACATCACTTGTACCCACTCCAAGTTTCACAATCTAAAACCAAAATCTTGTTTTTGTTTTGCGGCTATGCAAACCACACCCATTCATTGTTGTCTTTCACTCAGTATTGTCATGGTTTTAATTCCTTGAACAGGTTAAATGGGAGTGGTAAGAAGTGATTATGTTGAAACCGAAAGAATCATGGCTAGAAGATGAGCCTGGTATCAGAATGTAGGTAAAAATGTATCTTTGTTTCTGTTACTTTACACCATAGACATTACTTTGGTACAGTTTTGCCATTTGAACAATGATCTGTGGAAAGATATTGATCCTCAAAGTTGTAGAAAATGTCATGCTGAACCAAAATAACATTTTGGTTTCAGATTGTAATATTTGGAGTGGGCGCTGTTTTTAAAACTGCTTAAAGGTACAGTGTTTTAAAATCTCACCATGAGATATTAGTAGATTGCAAATTGGTACATAATCTGCTGTCAAGAAGGAAGGTGTGATTTGTTTAAGGACACTTGAGCCTAACATTAGCTGGCATAATGTTAGCTTATATCCAGCTGTTGTTGTTGTTTAGCCGGCTTGTTGTCAGCTGTCTGGAGCAATGACAGTAGAAAACAGTTTTCTACAGTCATTTGTCTGGAGATGGGAGGGTCCCATGTCTAATCTTCTGATAGTAAGTAATTGCGACAATATTAGGAATAAATTAGCATGTTTTCATGTGTTAGAGGATCAGGATTGAGGTGAGGAGGAAGAAGGGGAAATAAGGGAGAAGAGACTGCACTGATGGCAGGGAAGGACATAATGAGAAAGATATGAAAAATCTACATGTGAAAGTGTTAAATGGCCACATATAATTTGAAACATCTATTTTTGATCTTTAAATTAAAAGTGTCTTATATGGTGTTTTCATTTTGGCCAGTCTTCTGCAACATACATAAAAAGCAATTAGGCAGAAGTACGATGTCCATCTCGGCCACTTTATTCAAGGTGGCGGGGCAATGTGGGAACTTCCAAAAACCGAATTATTTTAGTTTATGAAAACACATCAATTTGTTGGAAGACACAGATAAACACTATTCAGTGTATATTTATAGTACTACATTGTCTTTTTTCTGTAACCTCAAAAAATTACTCACTGTACCTTTATTTTCTTTTATTCCTGACAATTTCTTGTGCATCTCTTGTACTTAAGAAGTGATGAGGGCTGAATAAACCAAATCAAAAAGCACCAAATTTTGACCTTCTGCTACTTTCTTGCTCCTAGGACCTGTAAAATGTTCACAGTGGTGTAGTACTTCTAGCTGCTCGGTTATTCCCAGTAGGTACTACAGCAAATGGATCCACATATGGGATATGGCACAGAGTTTACAAAAACGGTCCTTTCTGACACAACCCTCCAATTTATCCTTATCTTATGACTGTCTGAGGCTGGGTTGTGTTTTCCCATATGGAAAAGATATATATAGATCTTATAAAGTTTGTATCTGTCTTGTGTGAAACTTGTATGAAAAGCATACAGTACAAGAGTGAAAACAGATATAAGATCCCCTGAAAAATTATATAATGAAACTTGTATGTTTTGGATACTTACTAAAACAATATATGAAAGTAATGAGAAAATGGCCACTTTCATGAGTAAATCATGTAAGTTTTTACTATTTCTTTTCCATATGGGTTTTCCCAGGATGTTAAGGGAATGATGAAAACACTACACCACTGACCCACCGGACGTTTTCATAGTATGGAGGTAAAAGTTTTCATGGCTTCGTAAAATATTCTGAAGTTATTGTGGAGAAAAAAAAGCAAACAGCTATTTCAGATTTTTGACATCATTTCAAATCTTTAAAATCTGTACATGTGTGCATGAGTGGAAAACAAATGACTCAGGTGTGCAAAAGCTCCACTTCCATGAATTTGACGTCATTGTTTAGCAATGTGCAGCTGTTGGAAAAAAGAAAACATGCCAGGAATTGATAAGGTTGGATGCAGAAGTTTCCAGAGAATTAGACCGTTTGGAACCTCCTTTTAACTGGAACCCGTTCTTGATTCCCATCCCATTTTCAGAAAACATTTAATGTGACAGTTAAAGCAAATTAAAACCACAAATTATTTTATAAACCCCAAATAACTGTGCTAATGTCTGTCACATACAGTGGTTTTACATGTTGAAATTACACACATTTCCCAGGTTGCCAAGTCTGGACGAAGAGCTCGCCCTGCGGCACACCAGTCATCGTTTGAAGAGACTCGTCACATAAGGAAGTCCTCCACCTCTGCTTCAGCAGGAGAGGTATGCAATCATGTGATAGTAAACCTCTGCGTGTTATAACATTCGTTTACAAGGTCATAAATATGCATTTTGGTCTTGTCTCATACATGAATTACAGGATGATGATGAGGTAGGTAGCATGAATTAAGCGATGACTTTGCATGGCTTCTAGTCCTAATGCTCAGCTTATCAACTTTATACCATTTCCAGTTATCTTACATTTCTTTTATCATGAAGTGTTTTACTTCAGTTCATCTGATTAGATTTGATAGGACTCAAATTACAGCTCACCTCGAAGAGCCAGCTTGACACACATGGTATAAAGTTTGATTGGAGTGCATAATGCAGGTGATGAGATGTTTGAGTTGCTGTTTTTCTACTTTAGCAGGTTTTAAAGTGCTCCAAAACACTCAGAATAGCTGCTCTTTATTTGTTGGCCTGTATATGTTGGCTCTTATGTGTTGCATTAAGGGTTTGAAGTGTTACTTCATATAAACTCTAAATCCTTTTAACCTTGTGAGTCACAAAACATTGTAGTTGTCTTCATTTGGCTTATTTAATATCACCAGCAACTGATAAATCCTCTCTTTCTACAAGTGCCTTTTTTACACGAATCACTTCAAGTCATGGCACAGTTTTCATTGTAAAGTTTGCTTCTTGTTGCCCTTGAATCATGTTGCATGTAATCATAAGAAATCAGATCATAAGTGACAGTTGAAATACAACAAATCACTTCACTGTCGTTGGCATTTATAGGATCAGTGACATCTCCTGGATTGGCAAACTGTAAACCAGCCAGCATTCCCAGAGCAAATATTCCAGCAATGCCCTTGCTTTAGGCTAATCTTCCCAAATTAGGCCAACTTTCCTAATGTATGAACCAGTATTCTCGCGCCCTCTCTGACCTGCTGTGCAAGTGCAGTACATTTTTCCAGAGTGTCGTGCGACTGGGTGGCGTTTTTGCAGTCTTCGTTTATCAAACCCGTTCTCTTCTGCCCGAAATACCCAACTGATTGGTCGCATTCCCGACATCCTTTTAAACAAAGACTCATTGCTTTTATGGGCTCATAGAGTTCGGTCACTACAAGTTCCTCGCCCTAGAGACCGTCATAGAATCCCAAATTAGAAACCTTAAGGCCTAAGCTAATTGGCGTAATAGCCATAACTATTTTACTACAGCTGTGAGCTTCATATTTGGTCATGAGGAATTGGATGCTCGCAGTTTTTGTTTTGTTTCTCAGGACTATTTTGGTCCTCCCCATTTTTGTTGAGTGAAATAACTGCCACAGGATACATTTATTGCACACAGGATGCACTTGACCTTATTATCTCATCCCTTATGAAAATTGTCCATTGTTGAAATGCCACATATGAAACATCAAAGAGATTTCACGTCATGTGAAAAAAATGTTTAAATGCTGCTCTAAAAAAGCCTCCATAATTGTAATCCCTTTTTTGTTCCTATTAAAGAGACAGTTACTAATTGCACAAAGTTGAGGGAGCTCGTTCAGCCTCAGCTCTCTCGATTAATGGTAATATACAGTGGAGCAGAGTGGGCTCCCCCTCCCTCTGCCCTGCTTAATGGTGACATTCAGATTTATAAATGGCTTCAGTAAAGGAACCAGCCATGAAAGATTATTTCCTCTTTCATCATAAATGAAAGAAATTCTTCACGAACACTTTGTCCTCTGCAGACCCAATTTAGTAATGAGAAATGTTGTCCCTCTTTTTCCCTAATTCATTTGTCTAGTGCCCACCCTTGTGCGCGCTGAGGAATTTATTCATTCAAACGCTGGCCTCAGGGTCCCGGTCTCAGGATCAAGATTCTTACTCCGTTTACTATTTTCAGAATCAAAGAAGTAGACAGAGTGGGAGGTCATTTTTTTCCCCTCTGGCTCAGTTTTAGGGTCAGACTTAATTCCCACACTCTGCTCTATACGTTCTAATGCTTCAAATGGTTACTGCTGAAAACTATAATAAACTAAACTATTTAGCGCACATGCAGTAGACCAGCGGTCCCCAACCCTGGGCCATGAACCGGTATCGGTCCGTGAGTCGTTTGGTACCGGGCCTCGGGTGTGAAATTCATGGTTTCGGCTTTTAGCGGGTTTTTTTTGGTTTTTTTTAATCGTTTTTATTGTTAACTCGGTTTCCCTGGGTCTTTTTCCGTGTGTTATGTATAAATCTTCTTTTTTGGTACCGGTTCTGGATTTATTTTGTTGTATTCCTTTGCTCAGCAGATCAGGAATGTTGTTTACTCCACAGGTGGTTCGATCAGCATACCTTAACAAGACAGTTTCTTTTTTCTTTTTTTTTCTTAACAATTTGTGGATGAATGCTTCAATTTTGGAGTACCTATTTATCAAGTGTGTGTTTAACATGAGGCCACTGATTCTGATCAAGTTTACCCCAACATCTAATGAAAACATGCCGCTTCTGTGCTATATTTTCCGAGACTAAAGCCTCATAGGAGTTTGAATGCTTTCATATGTATTTACTTATCGTGAGTGTGGGTGAGTAGATATTCAGTGAAGCTGTTATTGAAGTTCTTCCTCCTTCCAGGGCCCTCCTCCTAAACCAGCCCGGCGACAGGGCGGCTGGGCAGAGGACAGCTCTGGATCTGGTTCTGCCAAGTACGTATTTTCACGTTCGCCCCCTCCATCTCTTGCGACTATAATGAAACTAAGCTGGGACTCCAAGCCGTGGTCTTGTTTTATGTGTTATTAATGAACTCTCATGCTGTTGAATGAGCTTATTTATCAGTGCATATTTGGCACTCGGGCTGTGAATCAACAAGGTTAGAGGGAGCCTGTCTGAGCAGGCAACTCTCCATTCGTCTTCATCTGTGAGCAAGGCGGTAATTGACATGGTTAATGCATCAGCCACAGGAGGGCACTGTTAGTCAGCTAGCCACTTCATCATGGGGGTTCAAGCCACTTAATCACCCTTTACCACTGCAGTCTGCTCTTTACACAAGGATCACAACATGGAGAATTCATGAAATATGTTGAACAGATGGAAGGTGTTTGCCAAAAGGCTTCGTCTCAGACTAACACATCTAAATCGCAATATTCTCCTTCACTGACTCAATATGAGATGTTTTAATACACTGTAGAACAGTTTGTTCTTCCAACTGCCATTGTGCTTCTTTTGCTCGGTCAGTGGAAGTGGGAGCACAGGAGATGCATTGAAGTGAACAGGCTGAGTCAATTGTATTTATTTGCGTAGTTTGCTGCACCGTTAGTGCAAGCAGGGAGAACGGCAAACTCAATAGATCTTTCCTTTCTCGCAGAAGGTCAGCGTGTCGCTTCTCCGCTTTTGCGTAACCCCTGCTTGATTCCCGGTCTCAAAGTGATTGAAATACAGGAGGTGTAAAAGGGGTTTGCACGTGCATTGATCCTCTCTGAAACAAAGTAAGTAATGGTCCCCCCTGGAACCAGCAAGGACTTTTCCCTTCAATGTCACCCCTCATGCTCAATCACCACCGCCCTCCTCCCACTAATCCCAGCGCAGAAATCCCAGGATTTGTCGATCTATCACTTCTAATTGACACTAAATGATCTGTCAGTTTATTGATGAACCTTTGAAACCAGGTTGTCACAATATATTTTATCCCTAACAACTTTTTCCAGACAGTTTTACCATGTCTATCGCTTTGCCTTACATGAGTCTTAATCAAGGGGCCTGTAATGTGTCTTAAGTGTCGCCACCCCCGCCCCGCAGACAGGACACCATCCAAGGGCAGGCAGGTAGGCTCCCTCAGCTCCTCTCTCGCTCTCCTGATTGGACTCTGCTGGCTTCAGATCGGCTGGTTTGGCCGCAGATAGTGTGCAAAAGATGGACAAAGCAGTAAATGAGCAGAGAACTGGCAAGATGAAGTGTTTAAGATAATTTTTCTTACTGGAAAAAAATATTATTAGCGCTACTCATAACAATATAATATAAGATATAGGACTTGATATGGATTTATTTTCTTGTGCTTGAAAGTTTGACTGAACTACCTGAACGTATAGTCCAGTCAATTTCATTACGTTGTTAAAGCTTCACTTTGGATTCGCAGGTTTTGTGATCTGTGATTAAAAAAAATCATACCACATCATCCTATGAACTTAGACCCATAACTTCAACCAGGAAAAACATCCTTTAATACCAACACCCCCTCCTGCCAAAAAAAAAAATTAACCTCAGGCAGATCAACAGGAAATGAAATCCTCATGGTGAAAAAAGATGATAAGATATTACCTTTGAAAAACAAGCTATGAATAAATGTTCTTATTTGTTGCCATTGTCGTTATTGTCCCAATGTTGGGACAGATTCATCTTTATAAGAACCTCTTAATACTTGTTCTAGATAAAAATACAAAAGGATTTATTTATGGATTTAAGTATGAGCTTTGTATCGATCTGCACATAATAGCTGCTTGTGCTCTTGAGTTTTGGACATGCTAAAGAATTAAAAGAAAAAAGAAGTAAAAGGCTGATTGAATCACCTTTAAAACCACTAGGGGGCACTACTCAACCAGGAGAACCAACAAATGTATTTAGCTCTATGAAGGAAGATTAAAAATGATATTGGAAAACATTTTTTGGGTATGCTTTAAAAAATACACATAACTTACAATGTTTTGTTTTATTCCTGCATTTGTGTGATTATATGCTTTGCATATTAATAATGCTGCATTTTTGGTATGCCAGCGTGCATCTTTTCATACTGAGGGAAAAACAAATGGAGAGAAGTCTGTAAATAGTTGCTGAGGCTGTTAAACTGGTATTATAGGCTGAGAAAACAGAAGACAACTACTGTCTACTCCACTAACACGGATGAAAAAGATATGCCTACTGTTATTTTGAAAGAAATACAATTTAATATGTGTGTGTTATTAAATTTGTGTGAAAATTATTTTTCTCTGGTGACGTACAGATCTTCGAGAAGACCTGCAGCTGAGGACCTCGAAGAGTAAGTAGGAACAATATTTTATTCTTTCAGCTGTCAGATGACTTTCATAACTGTCAGCACTTTTTGTATAAAAATAGGCCAGTTTAAATTTTTGTTCTTCTCGCAGTAAAGTGGAAATGGCACTCTACTTCCCCAGTTGTCCTTGGTCGTAACTAATCCTCGCCTTTCCAAGAACAATCACTTAATATGATTAAAATCCAGCGTGACTGAGTTGCCGTCACTTTTACTGCTGTTTCCCTGTTATTCTAGTCCCTTCCACCCACCCTCACACAATTGTGTGACCAGAATAGGCATCCACATGAGAAGAGGCAGGTAGAGGACACAGTCCTGTATGTTTGACTCATCATTGCAGCTGGAGCTTGGTGCCTGGATGGCTATAGTGAGACAGAGGCTTTGTGTGAAAGTGATGATGTTACTCTGCCGAAAAATCCCTTAGGTTCTGCTTCTGTCACAATTGTCTTGTCTTAACAATACTTATTCAGACTGTGCCTCCAGCTGGGGTTTTTTTTTTAATTCTTAGAGGTGATCTTGTCTAGGACAGTCAGGCTGTGTTAACCCAGACAGCACAACTGTGTGTCTCATAGCAGCTTTGTCAGAGGCTGTTATTCTAAAGTCTGACTCAGACTGTAGGAAACTGAGCAAGCACCCTACCTATCATAAGAAAGAACAAAAACAGGCCCATCATCAAAGAAAAGTCTAGGAGCCAACTCACTCACTCACTCACTCCCTATGATGACTGTTAAGATAGGGTTTGAAAGCATTAAATAATTCATGCTCTCATACTTCCTGTTTCTACAGCCGCCGTCTGCGACCACAAACTCCCCAGGGATCAGATGATGAAGGAGGTAAGAGCACCCTTGCAATCCTCACTCTCTGTGCCTCCTTACGGGCAAAGAGGAGCCCTCCAGTGCCTCACCGGCACATTCATCCTCAGAAAGTAGAGCAGATAAGCAGGCGGTCAGATCATTGCTTTTCACTGGTGCTCAAACCATATTTCTCCCTGAATATAGCGTGGATTTGTGTGTTAGAACGCTGACTTTGACCACTGAAAGTATGAGCGCGGTCCTTTTGATTAACGTGATGAGGGAATATGCTCATTTGATGGAGAGTTGAGGTTGTCCAGCCATCAGCCAGAACAACACAGTTAATCACAAAATGCACACACATGGACACAAAGTGTCAGACTGGTGCTGTTGAATACAGATCCAGTGGTAACACTGCTGCATTGACTAAGTGACCCGAGGGCTCGTGTGCACCACAAATGGTAAATGGTAAATGGCAGTGTGACAATGTAGCTGCCATCACCAGTGTGTGAATGTGTGTGTGGATGGGTGGATGACTGGATATGTAAAGCGCTTTGGGGTCCTTAGGGACTAGTAAAGCGCTGTATAAATACAGGCCATTTACCATTTACCATATGAACAAATTGAAAACCTTTTCTGTTAAAACAGCCATATTGTCATTTTATTAGGAAATAAAATAAGAATACTACTACGATTAATAAGAAGAAGATGAAAAAAATACCTAGTACGCTGTAGAGTGACTTTTGAGAAGATGGCGAGAATTCATGTTTAATTCTTTGTTCATGAATCTGCGGAGTTTAAAGAGTACCAATGTTGTCACAATGACATGCAGAGATTTTAAACTGTATTATTTATTAATAACTCTTGGTAATTCCACTCAGTTGTATTTTTCTGATGTGTTTTATTTGCTTAATTTAAAAAGTAGAAATCTATTCCAAAAGACAAATGATGTTACAGGGCAATAATAACTATTGAATTTCAATTTCAGAAACTGTTTTTTATATACATGTAATTAATGTACTACTATATTGTTTGTACACACACGATCGTACTCGATATTGTCGGCACACTGGCTAAAATGGACAGTTGATTGAAGGGTCCAGAGGTTTGGTTCTCTTGCAGTTAATGCCGCTGGAAAGATTATTACTCTGTGAAGGGAGACCTCTTAATACAGAGCTGGAGGCAGGGGTATTGGAAATTACAGTGCTGAGGGTTAGTGAGATAGCCCCTCCGATCTTGATTATGTCCCCTACCCTTATCCCTTATGTCCACTGGCTACAAGCACAGAGAGAGACAGAGGGAGAGAAGGCCAGGCTAGCCCCAGTCCCCTGCTCCCTTCTCCCTATCAGCTGCCCCCACAGCCTCCTGCTGGTCACATAAAATAGCACCAGTGTCGCAAAGACACTCATTTATTTCATGTCTCACCGTCTCCCACTTAAACTGTGACGTGTTGACTGTTGCTGTCCCGTAAGCCTTTCAAATGGATTCTCTGGCTGGGTAATCATTCGACTGGACCCCTGCGTAGATTATAGGGGTCCGAAGTAAGGCGAGGACACGGCCCGTTTGCCAGAGTCGCTGACTGGCATGTGCTGCCGGGAGTATGTCTACATTCACAGCAAATTATCCCCTTTTGATATTTACATGCTTCAGCGAGGAAGCCGGACGCGGCCGTGTAATAAGAATACGCGTGGCCTCTCGCTGCCAGACAAAAGCCACCTTGATACATGTCCAGCTGAGTGAAGGAAGCCAGCATGGATAATGCGTGCCATGCTGAGGGAAATATGCTCGTCCTGATGGAGTTGCCCTTTGCGTTGGAAGAAAACATTGGCTTGTTTGCAGCTGCTTTTATGGGCCACTTGACCTCTAGTAATAGGTTGGATTTGAAGCTCGTTTTAAAAAATGTTGTTGCTTTTTTTTCTCTTAATAATAGAGTTTGCACATAGACAGCATATGCTTCCGTGCTTCACGTCGAACTCTCACGGAGTGTGTTATTAGTGCGTTACTCGCTGAAATGGAAAGAAAGAGAGTGTGTGTGTGGACAGATAGACAACACAGGAAGCTGTTTGCAGAGCTGGATGGCAAAGCTTTTTGATGTCATTGCACTAAGACCATTAAATTTGATTGGGGGTCCAGGGGGGACGGATTCTGCTGAACGCTGTGCTTTGTAAATGAGAGGACAAAGTGTCACCGGGGCCTCATGAATATGAAATACCTGCGCCCGCATTTATTTGGATATCAGAAACACAGATGAATCTTGTCAGCGGCTAAACGAGCATGGCATTTTTAATTTGGTTTAATTAAAAAAAGAGAAAGAAATAAGTTATCGGCAGAGTGTGAGGCTTTTGGGCTTCAGCAAAACTTGGGGGGTAAGGTTTTTTTTTAGGATTTATCCATCTCAGAATGTTCAGAATCAAAATATTTTTCTCCTTCTTACATCTAAATTTATGTTTGCTTGAATTCTTTTTTTTAGGGGCTATTTTGAAGGAATGGTGACATAGATGCCAAGATATTTCCTCACATCAGATGCAGACTTCCATCTCCTCACCTCTATTTAGCTCCTCTATTGACTTTCCCCTCAGGGTGCAGTACTGTGGTTAGAGATTACTGACAAGCCTCTTCATGCAGTCCAGCTCTCTCTTTTTCTCTCGCTATCTGTCAGGTCTCTTTTCCCTCGCTTCCACTCCCCCACTTTCTTTCTCTGTCACTGTCCACACTCTGCTCTAGAGCTAATAAGGATGTGCACTTTGCTGCCACACCAGAAAAATACTTTTCAGGAAAGACACATCACACCCAAAGCTGGGACACATGTAAAGCCTCTACTGTACTTTTTATTTTTTTTGAAATATATATTGTTTGTTATCTGTACAGGCACCTTTTCTGTCAACAAGCGGCAACTTACTCACTATAAAATCGTTGGAGAGACTTTTCTGTCTCTTTACTGCTTATGTCCAGCTATCCAGACTACTCTCCATCCCTCTCTTATTTCCCTGCCTTGATATGTCCATCTGAAAAATGCTGTGAAAGTTTGCCCTCTCCTTCTTGGGAGTGAAGCCATCCTCTGTCCTGTTGCGTTTTGCCAATTAAAGCGGGTTCCCACTGTTTGAGCAGCGGGCTGGCGGCTCCTGGCACCGCAGCCCCTGCCAGGCCGCACTGTGACTTCCGACCCCACACAGATGGGCCCGCAAGCAAATACTCGTGCACATGGCTGGATACCGCTCCAGTCGGAGTGGCAGAGTGGACATGGAGGTCGGCCTACCGGCCACCGCAGGTCCTGGGGGTGGGCGGCACTGACAGGGCCCAAATGCTAAGGTAGCAGGGGGTGCTTTCTGGGGAGCCCCTGACCAGCACCCCTCTCACAGCAGGATGAGCTGCCGCCTTGCCTTCTGAATATTCATGGCCGCATGGCTATTGTGACAGGGCAGCTCTTATGTGGATGTAGCACACAAGAGGGAGGGGAGGAAGTGCCGCTTACAGGCACGTAACCTTCTAGCAGCCGTCCACAGGGAATTTACAGTAATTTAAACAATGTGTTTGTATTGGTAAGAATACTAAATGGTCGTTTGATGATTATTTGATGTTCTTAAATGTGCCACTTCTACAAATGTATCAGATGGACTCTGCTTTTTTTATTGTGTGTATTTAGACATCCCAACGATTCCTGATCTGGATGAAGTGCAAGAAGAAGATCTCACCATGCAAATTGCAGCTCCACCATGGTAGTTAATTCCTTAAACTGTAAACACTTTCAAACCACTTAATCACTTTGGACACACACACACACACACACACACACAGAGTGTGACTTACAGAGCCCCAACTCTATGATCTTAAACCTCTGTCCATGCACAGAGCAGTGGCTCAGTAGACTATTCTAGTGTCTTTCATGTTAACTGTCCTCCATTGATGCTGTTGCAGAGTGCCTTTGCTATATCAGGCTGAAATGGAGAAATAACAGTTGGGTGTGATTTATGCAACTCTCTTGCCAGGGTCCTTACTAACCGGGCCCTTTGATTTACAGGGCAGTGAGAGACACGTCGACATGTGTCGAATATGTTGCAAGGCTATGACAGCGGTGGAGGTTATTAGGCTGGGGCTTGCTCTCTGTGCGAGATAATATCCACATTGAACTCATTGCGAGGGCAATGTAGCGTGTAATGTGCAGTAAGTAGGACTGGCATGCACTGCTAGGCCCCGGCCACTTTGAGAGCCCCCCCACTTAATTCCAACCCACAGATAAGCAGCTGGGTTTCAATTTAAAGTGTTTAACACTTGGCAACCATCTCCTGCTCTCTCTGGCCTTTGCTTGAAATCTTAGAGCTTAAGTGTGTGAAAAAAACTTCAAGCTCATATAAGCCACTTTGCAGTCTTGCTTTGCGTGTATTCTGAAAGCAGGATTTTCTCTGTGACATGCTGTCTTCACCGAAATACAAGTTTGTTTACAGTATAAGTGCATCAGAAGCCTGACTTCCTGTCACTCTGTTAGTGTTCAGGTGAACCGAGTAATGACCTACAGAGATCTGGACAATGATCTGAAGAATTATTCTGCATTCCAAACCTTAGTGAGTCAAGGACACCTTATTTTTTTAAAAATACCTTCAATGTTCTCCTGCGCCTTCTCTTCAAGGTGGCAACTCTCATCACCTCTGTTTGTGCAAGCTAAGTGAATTTTACTGCACTATTTCCTCAGGATGGAGAGATCGACTTGAAGCTACTCACCAAGGTTTTAGCACCCGAGCAGGAGGTGAGGGAGGTGAGTGAATTTTTAGTAAATATAGCTTGCGAGCTCCCAACGAAAGGCCTGTCCAGCTGTTTCTTGAGCACCAGGGGAGGTTGCTGTCTGTCTCTCAGGTAATCAAGATTTATGATGTGTACATTAACACCCTCTGCTCCCCCCCACCACTCTCTATTCCCCGTACTCACTTTCTTGGTATGTCTCGCTCTGCCTCTCTAATTCTTCTTTTCTTCTGTCTCTCTTTTGCTCTGCAGGATGATGTGAGCTGGGAATGGGATCATCTGTTTACAGAGGTGTCCTCGGAGCTGCTGATGGAATGGGATCAAGGAGAGAGTGAGGAGCTGGCTGTGTAGCCTGCAACTCGAGGAGGACGCTTGAACTGAGACATGAAGTTGCTCTAGTAGGAGTGAACATCCCACTACAGAGAAGGGCTATCAACTTACAAACTTCAATTACTGTTATTTTGTATAAAGTGTGTGTACAGCATTTGGTAAATTTTATAAATAAATAAAGTTGTCTGTGCACGGAGCAGTACAGTGTTACCTTACCCTGTCTTTTGCTTTTTTAAGTTCACTTGCTCACTTTTTTAGTTTGTTAGTTTTAACTCAAACAGCCAAAAGGCAAAGTGAAAATAGCAGGTACAGATAAAAATTCCCCCACTCTACTAACAGCATTATCAACACCTTCATACAAGTCCAAGGTTGATAATCAGCTAAGCTGAAATCCACTTGATTGTGTTCAAATTAACATTCCTCATTAAAGCCTACAACCTTATTGTTATTGACTGTGCCATTGACTTTATCTTCCAGCTCTTCGATAGGAGCAACCCCTTCTTCACTATTATCTCAAATGTATTGAACAGAGTTCCTATTGACACCTGGGGGATTAGCATACATTATACTTTTTTACTGGATAAAGAGGAATAGATGTGAGATAGGAACAAGGCAGCTGCTAGTGTGAGGTGTGTTTTCTTTAAAGCCAGAAGGCCAGGACAATGGAAAGGAGATGTCTCCATGTCTGAATTTAAAATGGCATTGTGTTCTAATGGGATCACAGTTGGCGTAACGTGTGGCTTCAACATGTGGCGATCATGTGTATCAGCATTCACTTTTGCCTTTGGTTCATGTGTGCGAATATAAATGCAGACCTCCAAAGTCAGGCCGGGTCTATTAGGGAAACGGCTGTAACATTTACAGATTGTGATTAGGTTTATTTCTGAGGCAGAGAGCGGTCTCGTGACATTTGGAGATGCACAGAAAAGTCCTCAAGGGCACACAATCTACGCATCCAACAGCTCAATCACTGCCCATCACAAATAGATCCAGATTCTTTTTCGTTTGGTGGGCCTTGAATCAACTTCATCAGGAGTAATACCTCAGGACGAGGCTATCACGCGGGATATTTGTGCTCAGAATATTTGTGTGTGGCAGAATTTTTAAGTGGGGCCCTCAAATTCTGTGAGTGCTTTCTCTCTCTCTCTTTTTTGTCTATCAGATATACAAATGCACACTTTTTTACCGCCTCCACAATTGGCTTATTTAGCCAGACTTAATGAATTCTGCCCATATGCCCTGAGCAGCTGCTACGTTGCCCCTTCCTCCCGCCCCTGCCGAGCTGCGAAGTGCCCATCCATGTAGAGACAACCTCTAGCTGTCTCTCTGGAGAAGGCTAAGCCTGCCACTCCTCTGCTGGCAGCCAGCCGGTGCTGTCTGAGGTGGACCGCGGACGGGCCGAGGACTCAGATTAGGGCCCAGTGATCACGGGTTGCGGTCGTCCTCAAATGATTGGCCCAGGCGTCGGTGGATCAGAGAGGGGATTAGAGGGAGAGAGAGAGTTGCTGTTTGGCATGTGCTTGCATCCAGCTTCTCAAAGTGACCTCTCTCTACTGCCTCATCCTGCTGCTCTCTTACTTTATTCTCCCCATGTCTCTCTCTGTGTATACTGTATATATCCTGATGCTGCAGCGAGGCTAAGGATGACCTCTCACTGTCTGGGTGCAGTGGATTCAATCACATCAAAACAAGCGCAATGCACGCATCATTTCCAGCGAGGAAGACAATTGTGTTCTTTAAGAGCTTTGTGGTGGCTTTTGGATGAAAACGGTGTCGCCGGGAGGTGAGCCGAGTCTGAGGCCATGTTGATTATGTGTATATCAGATCAGATGATACAGGCCTCACATGGGTTTAGGGTGCAATTTATTTTTCCCTTGACATTTTTCTATTAAAATAATGGAGCCATTACCGCTGCAAAAAAACATCCACACTGCTCCGACGTGTGCTTCCGTAATCCGATATTTCACTGGAAATGCCTCAGTAATGATTTTTGATTTGATGGGAAACACTTTGGAGGAAAGGGTTTCCAGAATTTATGGGGTAAAAGAAGAAGTTTTCTCACTTTAAACTTTATTTATAAAGCAGCAATGTTTGTGAAACCTTAAGGCAAGCATGGCCCAGCTGAGCACAGTGAATTAGTTTGGGTTTAAGTAGGCTATTTATCTTTGTCTTTATTGGGTCCCTCATTGGAACCGACTTTTCATTTTGTGGCAAAGAAAACACATGAGAGGAAGTAATAAAAGCTTAACAGTATTTTAAAAGAAGAAGAAAAAGTAGAAAGGTCCGTTTATGTAATGTTTTTTCCCTCCGCCCCTGTTGACTGGCTTGTCTTGATGTATTTTGATATTGGGCACTAATTGGAAGGATAGACTAGAGATAATATCCTTCCAGCTCTACCTAATATGCTAAGGTGCTGACAGGAGTTTATACATCTTATCTGTTCTCAATATCTCCCTTCCATATGGTTCAAATCCAATATGCTGAGGTGTAATTAAAGAAAATGGGGAGATGTAGAGATAGCTTCAGCCCGATGCCGGGGCCCCTCAGACACAGAGTGAGGGGTGAGGACAGACACGCTAAAGCTCAGAGCGATATTAGGTCCGGTTCATTCCACCAGGGGCCGCGTGCCTGTAACAGGTTCCCTATCAGTGACCTGCCCAGCTCTGCATCAGTCAGGTGCCGCGAACCAGCCACAAGAGGACGATTATCAGTTTAAAAGGAAAAAAAAGCAAGAACAGAAAGATATGCCCCGCTTTTAAGCCATGTTTTACTCATTAATTTATAACAAAGAAAAAAAAATATATGCAAGGTCAATTTGAATTCTGAAGCCAGAAATAATACATGCAAATGCAAGCATATTCAAATGGAGCTCGTGCCCTTTGAATCAAACCTCAAAAAGCAACCTCGGTATTGATTCGCAACAAAGACTCCATGATATTTCAAGTTTAAAGGAGAGATCCTCAACACACCACTAAGGCAGTCAGATCAATATCATTTTTTGATCAAAAGGGGGATTTGCCTTTGAAATGGCCAGATTAAACAGATGTTTTATTTTTCATTAGTTATACTGCACCTTTAAAAGCCCGCGGGGGGGGGG